GGTTTAAGCTTCGGCATCGCAAGCCGCAAAACGGGACACGAACGGCAGCCAGAAGAGGCAAGTCGACCATACATTGGGACGAGAAGCCAGCACAGCCACAGCACGCGCGTTATCTCGCACCATCAGCATGTACGCGAAGAGCACACGAAGACGAAGAGCCTCCGCCATCCGTGAAGACGCGAAGAGGAAGAGCCTCCACCATCCGTGAAGACGCGAAGAGGAAGAGCCTCCACCATCCGTGAAGACGCGAAGAGGAAGAGCCTCCGCCATCCGGCGCGACGACGAAGACGCCTCCCCAAGAGCCACCACACGCCGCGCATCCCACGCCATACCCTTCACCAACCTCGACCTCAACTCGATCCACCACCATGGGAGATGTAGGCGAGGTGACGATGGATGCTGACGACGACTACGAGGACGATGAGCAGGAGAGAATCGCGCGTGTCGATGGGCGCGAGACAGACTGATAGCGTGTTCGAATACGATAATTGTACGTGCCCTCCCATGGTCGACTATAAACAAAGCTCACTCTCGGCTGTTGACAGTCAAGAAGAAATTCCTGGCACAGAACAGACAAATTGCCAAGTGCGTGTCCTACTCCGTCTTGATGCCACCACTAAGCCGCTGACACCGGGGACAGATTGAACTCAACACTGAGCCTACGAGTCAAGGAGCTTTCCGCCGAGATAGCGCAGCTCTTCAACGAAAATATTCGGCTCCGAGAGTCGGAAATCGCCCTCGCTGCCGAGCTCAAGCGCGAGCGGGAAAAGTCGCGCAAGGTCTTGTACGACGCTGAGATGGCGGTACGTGGTGAATTTCATATTTTTTTACTCGGTCGCTAACGACGGCACCCCGCAGGCGCTCAACTTGACCAAGCACCTGGGATTCGTCCGAGAGACATTTAACATCCGACATACTAGCGACACACCATCTCCTACACCACCACGAGCCACCCACCGTCCACTCACATCGACCCCGCCGTCGCCTAGGCTCTCGCGCGAACCGACAGTACCCGGTATAAACGAAGAGGAGGAACCTCCGGACAGTCCCCATCGCAGCAAGAAGACCAAACGGCTGTCAGCGAGCCGGTTGCCGCTACCATCGCGCTGCTCGCCGTCCCCACCGCCGCTAATTGATCTCGCCCCTCCAAAGAAGAAGAAATCGTCGTCGCGCCGTCAGAGTGGTCTATTTCCCGTTAACATTCCGGTCGTGGATGAACTGGCAGTAACAACCGCAGTTGCATTAGAGGACGACGATGATCCGGAGGAGGTTGCTGTCTTCGACGACTTGGTAGAGGACCCTGCGCCTATTGCGAAGAAGGAAAAGCGACGGAAGAAAGAGGGCACAGACGCAAAGTTCAAGGACTTGACCAACGAGCCGCGCAGGAAGAGTCCTCCAATCGGTATGTTGTATCTCCCTATCTGCGACCATTTATTGACTCGTTGTTGTAGACGATATACCCCCTACGCGACAATTCTTGACACCGTCTCCTCCTCAACCAACATCACTACCAACGCCCCAGACATCGTCCAGCCCCGAGCCTACCGACGCCGAGCGCACCAGACGGGCGCGCAAGACTGTCAACTATGCAGAGCCCAAATTAAACACGTATGTGTATTCTCTTCCTTGCTGTCTTTGTCTAACGTCGTCCAGGAAAATGCGCAGAGCAGACGGTGTACCACCCTTACGGAAGCAGCGCATGTCCGCGTCCGCGGTGCTAGATGACCGCAAAGTTACGTTAAAGCGAAATAAGAAGTTTGACTATCCGTCCGAAGAGGACCCGGATGATGAGGATGGCGCCGACGGGGACGCCGACGAGGACTACGCCATGCCGTCCTGGCGGATGGGGGACAGAAGACATAGTCTGGCCATTTAGACATTGATTTATTCCTTTTATGACGCCTGGGTATATGACTTTTTTTTAACTATCACTATGCATTTTTTGAATGTACTGTACTAGCCGCTATCTGTTTGTCTATTTGATGTTTTCGATGGTTAACCAACGGTTTCGATTCAGGATATTATTGGAATGGTAGGTAGAAACGGGCGTCAGTAGGAACGGCCAGGTGTGAAAGTTTTCTGTGGCGAATCGCAGCTCACCCATGTACTAAGTACTCGCGGATTTTGGCTTACCTGGGACAAAACGTCAATGAAAGCGTGGCTCAGCTCGGATGAGCTCACATCAGCCAGCCGTTTGTCGTGAGTATTCGACTTCTCTCTGCTTTTTTGAGCTAACAATGCGCTCAGAACAGCTTGTCATAGACTCAACTTCGACAATTCAGCGCGATAACCCGTTATAAGCTCATATCCGGTGACCCTCCAGCTAAAGCAGGCTTTCATAGGTTGCTTTCGGTTGTGTAGGATAGGCTGTATTCGCCAATCGGGCATTTCCTGGTGGCAGTAGTCCCTCTCTGCTTCTAACCAAGCCATTGTCGGCCATGCAAACAAGAATAGCGGGCTCCGGTGTCTCTACTTCACATCCGCCACCGCCGTGTGCTACGTGGCACGAAAGGGTGGTATCTATCCACGCGTTGTAATTGTTCCAGTGAGTTTTCTAGGGTTCGAGACTGAGAGGCGCAAATAATGCCGTGCACGTTTGCTGGAGCGGAAATAGAAGGGGTTGATGCTTTTTGTCAGCAGATCCTTCTCTACCACGACGACGATGACTGACGAGTTTTGTGTCTCTTGCAGCCAGCCGCAGGTAGAGACTCTCAAAGCCTGCAGTACCTGCAAAGCTGCCCTTTATTGTGTACGTTTCTGTTATGTCTTCTAGTAGCGCTAGCTAATCAGAGCACAGTCCAAGGAGTGTCAGAAGGAACACTGGCCGGTTCATAAATACACGTGTCGAGCGCCATTGAACGCAGACGAGGTGTTGGGCATCAAGCTTCTCTGCAACAGGGAGGTTCCTCCTGCCAAGGGCGACGGTGACCCGCACCCGGCCATTGCGCGACGCATTAAGCAGGTGGTATTGAAGAAGAACCATCCCATCTTCCGCCGGGGGGATCTCTGCCCGGCTACAGAGCGATACGGGCTCCCCCTCCTGGTCCTGAGCGATGGGATCCATAATCAGAAGAGGATGGATGGTGACGGGAACCAGCCGGCGGTGTACATGCGCATCGACGTCGACTCTGGGTTTGCGCCAATGAAGTATGTTGTTAATCTCCTTGCTGTGGTGGTGTGGTGTGGCGCTCACTGCAGGATTTAGTTGGCAGCTCATCGATCCCGATACTGTGCGCGCTTTCTTTGCTTGTTATCGTTGGCACTTGACCTAATGCAGGCTGTGTTAGTGTTACTTTGTACGGCAGGATTGTAAGCCGCTCACGCGCGAAGCTATGGAGGTCTGTCACGCCTTCCACTCGATGCTCATATCGGATGCGTATGACCTCGGCGCTGAGGAGTACGGCTGGGCTCCTGCGAGCGAGATGATAACGCCTGTGGTCTTTCAGACTTTCTGTAAGAAGTATTATAGGGAGCAGAGGGAGAAAGGGAGGCAGCAGTTTGGCTTTCTTGTACGTCCGCTTTGAGAATACTAAGGAAATTCCTTCGGTCACAGAGTTTATGTATCCATAGTACCATGCAATGGCAAGGCTTCAATTCCGCAAGCCGTCTACATGCTATAATGGTCTACATATGCGAGTAGAACGATGGGGAGGATAACACGGCTGTTGGGAAGCATGCCAGTAGACTGTTCGCGGCCGCGGACCATGCCTCAAGCGACCAACGCATTGTGCAAGTTCCCTGCTGGCACAACGCTTGAGCCGACACCAGTTCCTCGACTCCTGACTGATGCCGAAGAGGTACAAGCAACGGTAACCAACGCAGCTCAGAGCATGAGAGTCGCGGACAGGCTCGCGCCGGGCGTCAGACAAGTGATGATGGTGGTGTCGCGTACGCTCGGTGCGGCTATCGATTTCATTCGTGCCATCCTGTGACTCCTGTCGAGTGCGTCTTCTGCAACAAGTAGCCAGTTCCTCCTTGATTCGCTGTCCCATGAGTGCACAAGGAAGAAAAAGACACTGGGCCTGGCGACGTTCCAGTGGTAGGTAGGAAGCAGATCGGGTTGGTGGCGATGAAGCAGAGTAATGTCCTCAGGAGCGAAATTGAAAAAACTCGTAATCAATGGTAGAAGGCCACAATTCATCTGACATCCAGTGCACCGATTAGGGTGGTGAAGTAAACCCTAGGTTTTGATACACCTCGGTTTACTGCGGTTAGTAACGGTATTGATACGGTATCGAAACCTCAGCCGAGGTATCAGTAAGTATAGTTTCGATACCGACACGTGACAAATTCACGTGATGGCACGCTGGCACTCAGGCAAGCAGAAAGTGGCGGGATAAGGGCAGGCGGAGGGCGGCGGAGCGGTGCGCCACATCACGTGGTAAAAGCACGTGCCGGTATCGAAACCGTTAGTAACGGTTTCAAAACCAGGCCTCCTGGGTCGGTATCAATACCGTTACTAACACCCCCCCGAGGTTTACTGCGCCAGAACCCTAGGGTTGCGCAGGATACCCCAATATCGCGCCGTTTGATATTTAACCGGTTAATAACAGTTAATAACGCGTTTAACACCCCGCCGAGAGGTAAGTTTTGGGGGTTATTAACCTATCACATGATGCAGTCATGTGAGCAGCGGGGCGCGTTGGGGCGGGATCGGGAGGAGGAGGGTGATTTGCAGGCAAGAGGGCAGGTAATGAGCCGCTAGACCACATAGATTCACCAGAGGATGAGTAGAACTCAAATTAGATGATTTTGAAGCCACCAGACAGGTTTTCTGAGGGCCTGAGAAGAAAGTTTTGCTTCAGACCGGCAAAATACGCCACATTGCATCACGTGGAGGTTAATTAACGGTTAGTAACCGTTAATAACACACCCCAAAGTGAGGGTATATTCCGCCGATGTTACTAACCACCTCGGGCAATATACTGCGCAACCCTAGCCAGACCGATTGCCATTGAAATTGGTTTTGAGGAAAAAAAACAGCTCAATTGGGGCAAAAGCTCTCTGACTGGGAGTCGAACCCAGCTTTCGCGCGAAGAATCGGATATATGGATGACAGGCGCGTGTACTAACCGATATACTATCAGAGATATATTCGCCTCACCTCCACCCATTCTTGGACTTGACCACTGGCAGTGGATAAGCTCACAATGCTAAGTAACGGTTGTACACGTCGACAGTGAAGCAGTTATCATACTTGCCTTCCGGGTAGATTGCGGGTTTGAAAGGGAGTGACAGGAAAACCTAACCCGAATATTTGTCGACGCGTTGTTTGTCATCGGCTTCGCATTTTGCGATCTTTCTCCTTTGCTCCTCTCTGCCATTGATAAAATGAACGCCCGCCAGCATGATTAAATAGTCTCTGAGGCCATGACAGCAATTCCGTTATCGTAAACGGTGCTCTGGTCGTGAACATTATCGACCAACCCATTGAACCCTGCTACAGCAAATGCCTTCACTGGAGGCGTCTGCTAAGTAGCTGAACCCATAGAGTTGAGTAATAAATCTATCCTACATTCGGCCTTCGTTGAACTGCGCTTGGATTCTAGCGCCAGATTATGGTTTCCGGGTATCAAAGCGATAGTTGTGTTGTAGAGACGCTGGTCAACTGACCGGAGGCCTTCGCTCAGGTCCTCCGCATCAACCGGAAACAATCCTCACATCTATACCACGATGTCAATGGCATCCTCTTCCAGCTCTTCGTCTGTGCCCTCGGAGTCCGAGCCGTCTTCTTCGTCGTCCCATGAAATGACACTCGAATTCATGCCCGATAATCTCCAGCGCTGCACAATCAGCGATGTTTCCCATGACCGAGAAGTTCGCCCGCTGTACACTGTGCAGACAATCTACAAACTGGGGTTGGGCTCGCATATGATTACAACTGTTATTCGGAAAGGGAACGAGGATGAGAAGATCGCGGTGTTTGACAGGTATGATTTGCCTATGCGACACGACACTGTCACGTTCTACGGCCGTGCCAAAAGCGGAGGAAAAGTGGTCAATTCGGAAGTGGCTGAGAAACTTGGGACCAAGGCGGCCCGTGTAGGTTTTCAAAAGCTCTTTTCCATTCGACAAGATGGATCTGACGAGAACTGCTCAGACCCGCACAGTTTATTCACGCTGGGAACCAATATACGTGGGCGGTTAGTGATGAGACGCTATCCGTTTCCTATTACTTACTCGAGCACTGAGCAGTTAACGTCCTCCCAAAGCCTCGACCCAATCGCGTCCTTCCGCGGGTCGCGCCGCATTTTAATCAACAATGATTGGTCGTGATACCCGCACGACTCTGCATATCACTGCCGCGCCATCTGCATGACGCTGAGGATGACAACGGATTGGGGATAAGGGAGGCGATTGTGGTCTCGGCTCTCCTCGCGGCGCAGAAGTGGAGAGAAATGGAGAATGAGAAGAAAACGGAGTCAATGACAATGACATGGACGAAGAACTTTTGACCGCAACGTTGGGAGAGGTATCAATACTCGGATGGCCTGCTTATACGGGAACAGCATGACTTGTGTCGTTGATGAGAAGCAAAGTCACCAGGTAGTAGGTAGGTAGGTAGAAACCGGCACAAGGTCCTATCAGGAACGGCCGGGTGTGAAAGCGTTGTAAGTGGCGAATTCCAGCTTTCACGCCATGCACTAAGTACTCGCGGGGATATCTCCGCATTTAAGAAGGTCGCCGCGCGCCTCTGGTGCACAGTCAGGAGCTCAAGGCTCCGAAACCGACTTAAAAGTCAGTCGCCCAGGGAAACTGCGCCACAGCTTTACGGGTTCTCGGCCGATTTGGAATAAACAAGTCCTTATTCATTGACTAGCTATGTAGGATCAAGACAGCTCTTTTTTACCACACTCTAGGCGCCGCTTGTGAATCGTTGTAATGCGACTGTCCCTTAGCAGAAGGTAATGACCAAGCCAGACTGATACTCCGCGTCAGCAAAATCATAATGGTGAATAGTAAATGGCACTCACGTCGTTGGAGGTGCACTGTCGCTGAGCCTCATAGTCGTCAGTCTTGTGGAAAGCGTCCGTAGTGGGGCAGTTGGCGGAAGAGCCTTGTGAATGGAATATGTCAGAGCAACCCGAAAGGTCGAGAGTATAGTAAGACTAACAAGAAGCGCCGTATCCTGCGCAGCCACCAGTGTAGGCAAACTTGGTGGGGACATTGAACGTGTGCCTAGATAGTGGATTAGCCAGAATGCAGACCTCGGAACGGGCGAGCATACGGGGCAATGAGGGAGATATCAGTGCTCGAGACTCCGTTGTTGATGAGAGTGGTCTCGACGATACCACAACCGGTGCCCTGAAATCCACAGCCTGATAATGGAGAGTTTGTGAGAGGGTCTTTCTGTGCAAGCAAGGTCACAAACCAGTGTCGAGATAACTGTGATGGAAAGGTGAGTTTAATCGACTCCATGATAGAGTAGTAACAAGTAACGTACGCGATGACGGCCGAGAATGGACCAGTCGCGGTGTAAGGAGCTCCAGTAGACAGGGTGTTAAAGTTTTGAGAGAGGATAGGCTAGGAAGGGTTAACATCCGATGGAAAGTAACCAAGGCAGAGACCGTACAGTGCCACGGCCACAGCTGCAGAGAGCGACGTTAGACGCGGACAGTTTCGCAGAACTATTCGCACATACTTGTTGACAAAACTGACAGTGTGGCTCTCAGCGTTGACGGTGGCGACACCGGCAACAACAGCAGCGAGAACGTATTTGACCCAGGAGGAGGAGAACATGTTGTCAGAGGAAGAGTATACCAGTGGGTTGGTAGAAGCGTAAGAGTTCGTAGGAGTGAAGTACGATGCTCAATAATCGACAAGACACATTTCCTTTATACCTCCCAGAGAGCGCTTCGCGTTCCAGAGTAGGCTTTTCCGCTTGCCTTTCCGTGCTCCATATGTTAATCCCCACATATGGCCCGCGTACTTCGGTGCATGGACAAACCGCGTCTGAAACGCGTCCTGTACGGAGCACTAAATTTCTAATTCGTCAATCCGCAAATCGAAAATCAGCATTCGGTAGAAGCCATGATATGGGTTCGCGTAACTTACGAAAAAACATATCACATGGTCACTGAGAAGGGCTAAACAGACCGAAGAACGCGTTTGAGAGCCCCAGTGAGTAACCTACTTGAAACCAAGAAGCGCAAGGTAGATTTAGACTATAGTAACAATTGGACATGGCGGTTTTGAAAGAGGAAGGTGATGCTGAGGTAATCCGCATCCTTCGGCTTTGACCGTCAATCATTTGGAGAGAGTAACGTATAGAGAGTACAGCAGAGTACTTCCAGCGAGGTTTACACTACGTGGACGTCCTATCAAGGCGCCCAGCACGACCATGGGACACCGCCTAGTATGACTAGGAGTCGAATTATCAATTCACCGCGGCGGGTGCACTATTCTGTACGAGCCTTGTCTTGATCTTCTGACCATAACCCTTCTGGTAGATACCTCCCTCCCGAACCTAATGCAATGAGGCTTCTAATGTTTCAGGAAAACTTGCAGAAGCTCCTGAGTAAGCATTTCGCTGATCGCGGCGCGCGCCATCGCGAAATCCGCGAGATTTCTGTACGGTATCGGAGGTGACAGCAACTGCAATCCGTGTACTTCGGAGAAAGCTCATACCTCCCTCTGGTACAGTCGTCCTCGTCCTTGCTATGGTCTTGTCCTCGTCGTTGCTGCGATTGTATTCTGGTCCCCACTATGCTGTTCCAAACGAAGCAAAAATAAATACCGTCGCAACACCTGTTTTTCGTAGTCGGAACACGAATTTGAGCATTCGCAACATTAAATGAACTCACCGCAAGTCGAACTCCAGCTTTCGAAAATCAAGCCGGCATCAACGACACTTGAGGAGGATTTTCGCAACTTGAGGAGGATCTTGGAAAGAGTGTCGCAACCACAGCACACGTCGCAACAGTGCAAGACGTTCGAAACTCTTGATGGTACTCGTCGCAAGCGAATGAAGCTCCGCAAATGTGACGAGTGACAACCGGCAATGTTTCGAAAGTTGGACACGACGATTTCGAGAAAGACAGATATGTAGATATGATGTCGAAACAAGTGGTCTATGGGAGCCTGATGGGAGCCAGCTTGTCCGCAAATCAGATTCGGTACCAATTCGGTACCCGGAGTCCCGGACTGATCCATTACATGACCAGACCCGGGTAATTAAGCGACGTGCTGTAAGGAAAAGGAACCTCACCCGAGAGCACTCCATAAAGGCTGACGCTGCAAGGGCTAGGAATGAGGTTGGTGCTGCAGAGACTCAGAGCTAGACACGAGTTGGTGCTGACCTGGGTACTGACTCAACGCGCGTGTATCTGGCAGCATTATTCATGCCTGTTGGCGGCCCCGAGCAATTGCGCAGGGGCTACACAACGTGCATGAGCCGCGGGCATGATGATAGACGGCCTGGATGAGGTGGTTGCCGGCAAGGAGTGTGCGGGGTGCTGAGCGTGTGAGTGAGGACAGTGACTGCGAGGATGTGGTTGTGGCGGGGATACGTGCGCCACACTTTTTCATCCTGGCCGTAGTCTAACCAATGCCTCGTTGGAGGCAGTGAGGCCAATCCGGATGATTGATGCCTGCACACTTGTTCCAGGTATGCAGCTGCCTCGTCCTGAAGGCTGAGGCCTGAGGGCTTATACTTGGCACCGTCCCGAAGACGAGCACCAGAAAGGCCCGGAATGCATCCAAGGGCTGCGTCGGCAGAACTAAGCAGTAAGCCAGAAGAGATGCTGACAAGTCAAAAGGCAGATGTGGGCAAGCAGATTGGAATGACCTATTGGCAGATGAGCATTGAGCAAGCGGAGCCTCAAAGGGGAGAGTGCAAAGATGACGCATCGCTTACCCGGGTCTGGATGGATCGGTCCGGTACCGAATCTGATGCTGGCTCAAATGGCGGCTTTGCTCTCTTCGATAGCTGTCACATTTGCGGAGCTTGACTCACTTGCGACGAGTACCATCAAGAGTTTCGAACGTCTTGCACTGTTGCGACGCGTGCTGTGGTTGCGACGCTCTTTCGAAGATCCTCCTCAAGTTGCGAAAATCCTCCTCAAGTGTCGTTGATGCCGGCTTGATTTTC